AAAGCGTCATACACTTCCAGAATCTTGAAAATTTAAAATGATGTAGAAAATAGGAATTATACAGCAGGTAGCAGTATCATTACAGTCTTCTGAAATTGTTAACTATTAACCAAAGTGGAACAAAATCAAATCTTGATACAAGGTCAAATTGCAAAAGTGTCAAAAACAGGGTATGTGCCTCATTTTTCCTGACCGGGATCAATCCCCCGTATCAGCTAATTTCGACTAATTTTCATTATTTACTCTTCCAAAACTCACATAATCAAAACTGTTTTCTGAATCAGTTGAATTTTTTTTCCAGAAAACAAGCTTATTTACCTGCTAACTTGAAGCATTGGCAGCACTGCTTTTTTCCAGAATTTGGAATTGTGAACATAAAGCTCGGGGTAGTTGAGGAACACACGCCGTGGGTCAACATCACGCATATATCCTGCTTCTTGCATTTTCAAGAGACACTGGTACAGTTCATTCATTTGCTTCAGCAACTGAAATATAGTGGAAATCGAAACTTAAGTGCTGCTAAATGCAAAGCAAAATCACATAAACTATGTGTCCCTCACTGTACTTCGGAGTGGCAGCACTTCGATGAAGACAAGCGCAAGGGTCTCGATCGTCCCCGCTATTGAGTTGAGAGTAAACTGAAGGCTGATTAGTTACCTGACATACTAAAAGGCCAACAACCAAGATCGTTCCAAAATGTTTTGAAATGAGGTCAAAAATTTCTTTTGTTCACAGTCTAAGAAACACTAAATAAATGGGTCCAGCGATTGATAAGTATGGAAGAATGCACACGCACGAGTGAAGAAATATTGAACGCTCGTAAATAGGAAGAGTTTTCTGGGGAAAAATGGTTCTCTGAAGCTGAAACCAACTAAGCAAATTTATGAAGTATAAAACTGCTTTTTACTAAAAAGTTTTTTCACAAGTAAACTAATTTTTTTCGTTTCCTCCTTCCCTTCCCTCTCCCACTCCTTCCCCTCAAATCTAGGCTTTTCGCAATCCTTCCCCCACTCGATTCCATATCTCAAACTCCATTACAATTATTTACAACTCCCACTTCCTTCTTGCTCCTCGGCTTCCGCCACTCGCTCTCACTTCCCCCACCGACTCAATTCAAAATCATGAAATGGAAAAATCCAAACAATTTCATTTATTGCCGTCCCGGTTTGCCCTATATTTTTATCGGATCAACCAATAGTTTGTGCATACATTTGGAGAAAAAATAAATATAAACAATAAAAGAGGCCAAAATTTTCAGTGCTCTAGAAATGGCTATTCTAGATGTTGGTTATATAGATATTGCACGAAAACCTAGAACAGTAATAAACAAAAATGGATTTTTGGCACAGGAGTAATCAAATTCCACCGAACTTCACTGTATTACCAGGGGGCTGCGCCCACAAAGCCATTTGTGTTGAAAAAAATTTGCTCTGTAATTAACCTGCAAAAATCTGTTTTCAAAATGTTTGAGAACAGAAAAAAAAGGACAAATTCGTGCCTGCAGATATCGATGCTCGGTGGTGACGAATTCCCAGATGGCCTCCTGCTGCTCGTGAGCACGCCTGCTTAGTGCATCCTGAAACAAACTCGTTCATAATTCTTCAGAAAAAAAAATTTTTTTGAAACAAAAGCAGAGTCTGAGTGCATGCCTTCACAGGAAAGTTAAGGAAGGTGTATAATATAATGTAGAAG